GCTGTTGCCCCAGCTGCTGGTGGTTGTGTAGGGACTGCTGAGGATGTTGCTGCAGCTTTGGAAGGAGGACTTTCTGTGGCGCTAACTGCGTTGCCTTCACCTGCTGCTGCTGTTGCTGCTGCTGCTGTGGCAACCGGGGTAGCAACACAGGCCTTTGATGCGTCCCTACATGCTGCTGCCCCGGCTGCTGCTGCAGCAGCGGCAGTGGCAGGGGGGGCGATGGTGATGGTGATGCACCCGCCACACGTGGAGGGACATTCCCTTTTTGCTGCTGCTGCCCAAGCTGCTGCTGCGGTTGCTGCTGCGGTTGCTGCTGCGGCAGCGGCAGCGGCAGCGGCAGCGGCAACGATGGTGATGGCGATGCACCGGTCACACGTGGAGGGACATTCCCCTTCTGCTGCTGCCCCTGCTGCCCCAGCTGCTGCTGCTGTTGCTGCTGTGGCAACAACAACGGCGGCAGAAGAGAGTTCCCCTTGAGCTGCCCCACATTCCCTTGTACCGCCCCAGGTAGCCCCACCCCCAATCCCTGCCCTCCTGCTCTCTGGGTACCACCTGCTGCCACCGCCCCTGCTGCCACCGCCCCCGCTGCCACCGCCCCTGCTTGAGCCGCCCCTGCAGGCGTCACCCCTGTTTGAACCGCTCCTGGGTGCACCACCCCTGCTTGCCCCACCCTTGCCTGTCCAGACCCGGGTGCCGCTGCCCCTGCCTGTCCCATTCCCGCCTGCCCTGCACTTGCTTGCCCAACCCCTTGCCCCACCCCTGCCTGCGCTCCTGCCTGCACTGCCCCTGCCTGCGCCGCCCCTGCCTGAACCACACCTGCAGGGGAAAGCCCAGGTATTCTCAGGTGGGCGGACGGGCCACCAGCAGCACCGGTCTGAACCGGAGCACCTGCCGCCCGGGGAACATGCGCCACCTGCCCCTGATTACGCCCCTGCACCTGCCCCTGCCCTTGATTCTGCACCTGATTCCGCCCCTGCACCTGGCCCTGCACTTGATTCTGCCCCTGAGCAAGTGTCTGGCCCAGAGCCTTCCCTCCTGCTGCGGTTGCTGTTGCTGGCGGTAAAGCAGGGGAGACCGCCCCCCCCACATGGTTTCCTACTGCCTCCTCTCGTCCCAGCATCCCTTCCGGGGCCTTCCCTGATGCTGATGGTCCTCCTGCTGGTGCGTGCCCTGCTGCTCCTTGCAGCTTTATTTGCCCCTGAACCTGCCCAGAAACCTGCCCGTGTTGAGCCGTCATTGGCTGGTGCGCAGAACCTAGCTTCGCTGCCTGCCCTTGCAGCACTTGTGGTCCTCCTGCTGCTGCTCCTCCTCCTCCTGCTGCTCCTGCTCCTGCTCCTGCTGCTGCTCCTGTTGCGCCCACAGCACAACCTGTCACTGCACCAGTTGTAACAGCACCTGTAGCAGCACTGGTCATAGCACCAACTGTAGCAGCGGCGGCTGTAGCATGTGTACTGGCACTTGGCATACCCGAAGCTGTTGCCGAACCTGAAGCAGCAACCACACCTGCCACCTGCCCACTGACACCCGAGCCTGGAACAGGTTTGGCACCAGGCACAGGCGGCCTGGGAACTGGCCCGGGCGGAGGTCCGGCAGCAGGTA